GAGCAGGCAGTGGAGAGCCAGGCAGTAACTGCGGCTGTGACTGGTCAGGTGGAGGACACAGGAGAGGCGGAGTAAGGCCAGTGGAAGACGGAAGACTAAGAATGTGACGAAGCGCCGAGTCAGGCGGTGGCAGGGACGACTGCGGCTGCGGGTAGAAAAACGGTCGGCGCGGCGCAGTACCCGTACCGCCAGCAACTCCAGCACTTCCAGCACCTCCAGCTCCAGCACCTCTAGTACCTCCAGTACCACCAGCTCCAACACCTCCAGTACCTCCAGCTCCAGCACCTCCAGCACTAGCAGCTCCTCCAGCACTAGCGGCTCCTCCAGCTCTAGCACCTCCAGCACCTCCAGCTCTAGCACCTCCAGGACCAGCAGCTCCAGTACCTCCAGCACCTCCAGCTCTAGTACCTCCTGTACCAACAGCTCCAGTACCTCCAGCACCTCCAGCTCTAGCACCTCAAGCACCAGCAGCTCCAGTACCTCCAGCACCAGCAGCTGCAGTACCTCCAGTACCTCCAGCTCTAGCACCTCCATCTCCAGTACTCCAAGCTCCAGGAACCCGGCCCCGCCAAACAACCCAGTCGCGAAGCTGCTGCGGCGAGAGGGTCTCCTGTCGACTAGACTGCTGCTGCTGTCCAACGCCAGAACCCCCAGCAGGAGCACCCACGACTCCACCACCACTAGGACTCGTAGCACCCCCAGTGTCAGCACCCCTAGAACCGGCACCCCCAGAACCAGCACCCCCAGAGTCAGCAACCTCAGAACCAGCACCTCCAGAGTCCGCACCCCCAGTGTCACCACCCCCAGCAGCACCAGAGTCCACAGCAACAGGTTGTGGAGGCGGCGAAGACGGCCGAGGCGGAAAACCAGGAGAGGTCTCCAAGCGTGGGGAGCGGCGAGTAGCCGCCGTGTCGTCAGGAGCGGGGTCACCCCCCTCAGTTGGGCCAGAGGTGTCAGAAGAGACCTCTAAAGGCCCAACCAAGGAGGGTGGGTCGACCTGAGACAAACCTGAGGGAGCAGGATCCTGTGGGGGGAGGGGGTCTACCGGGGGGACTTGGGACCAGGAAGAGGGGCGGCGGGGAGAGTGGGGAAGACGCGTGCGGGTGGAGACGGTAGAAGCAGACCGACTCGTCAAAGGTGACGTCCTATGAAGACAGGACGCGGCGCGAGGCAGGGTGGTAAAACTGCCAGGGCGGGGCATCGGTTGGGAAGCCAAGGAAGACGTAACGGAGAGTGCGAGGACAGAGCTTTTGAGGTCCTGGGGTTGAGCTGATCCGCGGCGTATCGGACCGCAAACGGCCACAGAAAAGGGGGAGCAGCCGCATGGATCATGGATGTGTGAGCAACCTCCATAACCAAGCCAATGCGATGCTCAGCAATCCCATTCTGCTGTGGAGGGTCCGGAAGCGTGAACGACTGGGCGATGCCCTCTGCACGATAAAAACCCTCAAGGAGGCGGGAGGAAAACTCACCGCCTCTGTCAGAGTGCAGTCGCAGGACCTGGAGGTCCTGCTGAAACCGAGCTCTCAGCTGGCGACGAACAGCAGTGATCCAGGGGATCAAGAGACCGGGGACTTGCTCCGCAAGGGGAAGACCGTGGTGTAGCGCGTGTAGTCGTCAAGAACCGGGAGGAAGTAACCTCCTGGTCCTGTCCACGGACGCGGGCTGGGCCCCACACGTCCATGTGGAGAGTCTGCAGAGGAGCAGTAGTCGGCGGAAACGAGGAGGAGTGAGGAGCGGCGCGCTGCCGCTCCTCGACGCAAGGAAGGCACGGCGGTGCAAGCGAGCGCGGGAGCGGGGGCAGGGACCTGGGGAGGCCAGAGACAAGGAGACGTGAGTGCATGCTACGCATGCGCGACAGGGAGGGGTGACCAAGACGGTGGTGCCAGAGGAGAGTCTGGTTGCGAGAGTAGCCGACACGAACAAGACGCAGCTAACCGACCTGACGCAGCCACATGACATGACGCAGCCACCTGTGCCGACTCACTGGTCAGTGTGTACAGGCTAGACCTAGGCCTCCGAGTGAACGTGGCGAGGTTCTCGCTAGTGCGTGAGTTCGAACAGATCGCCACACGCTCACCTCCAGGAGTGAAGGTACTGACCAACTCGTCCTGGAGAACAGCGTTACTCACCAAGTTCTTAGAGAACGAGGGGAGGTGGTGACCTGAGAGAGAGCCGGAGGGGACCGCCGGACACGGGAGGACAGTGGAGGCTCGTGCAACGACTGGGCCCCCAGAGGGGTCAGCCAGAGAGACTGAGACAGGTGCTGCGAGCGGTGTGACTGTGGTGCAATCGCGAAAGAAGCAGCGAGACGCGCCTGAGTCAAGCGTGAAGGTGTGCAAGGCCTCAGCAGAAGCAGTACCTGCGGCAGCAGACTCACAAGCACCTAGAGCAGAAGCCTCTACACGAGCAGCGCGCGGCACACACGAGTAACAGTCACCCTCAGCACTAATAGAACCAGCATACATAGCATAGATTCCAGCATTGATCTTGTCAAAGTCAAGAGCAAACACATCTACCCCCTTCCCTAGCAGCGCGGACCAGTTGGGGATCTCCTACTCATCTCTGTACTCGGTGCGCCAAGCATCCTCGAGACGGCAGAAGCAATGATACTCAGTGTGTCCAATCTTCCCACAGGGCTCACCAGTCTTGGGACCGAAGCGCCTGATGTACGGGCAATGGACACCACCCCCACGCTGGACAACCCACGCACGAAGCTCCTGAGGGGTGCGTGGCTCCTGCTGGCGTGGCTGCTGCTGCTGTCCACCCCCAGTGCCTCCGCCGCCACGAGCTGCCCCACCAGTCGCCGCCCCATAGCCTCCGCCCCTACCAGCTCCACCCCGACCGCCACCCGAGCCCCCTGCGCCCACTCCACCGCCTCCACCACCCCCGCCACCTCCACTGCCGCCCCCACCGCCTCCATCCCCACCACCACCACCGCCTCCACCCCCACCACCACTACCGCCACCACCCCCGCCACCACCCCCGCCACCACCCCCGCATGTGCCCCCCCCACCACCCTTACCCCCCTTGCCCTAACCGTTGCGGCGCCTCCCACTAGGAGCAGACGCAGCACCGACCTCCTCAGCACGAAGGAAGTCAACAGCAGCAGCAGTAGCAATAGAGTGCGCGAGAAGGGAGGGAGAACACCCCTCAAAGAGTCGGGAGCGGGGAGTGCCACGAGAGTCAGCTACAGCGACAGAACTGGTCCCAGCCTCGAAGAGATGCTTCTCCAGCAATGCAAGGGTAATCTCGGTGGGGTCAAGAGCAAGGAAGGGATCCCTAACGGCGCGGAGGGAGTCAAGGAGGCGGGTAACGAGGTAGTAGAGAGTGATGTACATCGGAGGCGGGTTAGCAGCGAGAAAGGCTGGCTTGAGAGTGGCACGGTAGCGAGCGTCACTAGAGCGAAGGTGGGTCATGAGGTCAGCGACAGTGGGGAAATCCGACAGCTCAGGAAAGAGGTACGGCAGCATGATACGGCCTAGGGCAGCAGTAGAGGGGGAGGAGTAACGAGCAACTAGAGCGTCATAGAGTTCCCTCGCCGTCTTAAGTTGGCCGAAATGGACTCGTTCCTCTAGCGTGAGGGCATTGCGGACAGAAAGGCGGGCGGCAGCATCGCGGGTGAGCCACTGAGTACGAAGAACACGCGTAGCTGACTCCTCAGGGGCAAGGCAAGTACCTGACGTGTGCTCTAACAGTGAAACGTCCTCCCTAGCCAAGCTCTGCAGGTACAACTGGAGGTCCTCGAGCCAGCAGTCAAACCTAATCGGGCGACCCTCCGCATCAAAGGTAAGAACATTAAGAGTAGCCATCGTGAGTAGCAGCATCTGCAGCAGCAGCAGCAGTAGCAGCAGCAGCAGCAGCAGTAGTAGCAGTAGCAGCAGTAGCAGCAGCAGTAGCAGCAGTGCGGCAGCAAAAGCAGGTCGGCCGGGCAGCTAGGCAGCGCGGCGCGGTTTGGCAGGGCGGCGCGGCTCGGGCAGTGCGGGGCGGCTCTGGCACGGCGGGGCAGTGCGGCGCTGGCAGCAGCAGCTGCACCGTGTGCAGGGCGCGTGCAGGCAGCACGCTTAGGGCCGCGCGCGGGCTGTGCGGGCAGAGCGCGAGCAGGGCGGGCCGTAAGGGCAGCGCGCGGGCGGCGCCAGCGGCGTGCGGGCAGTGCGCGAGCAGGGCGCGCGGTGCGCGGGCAGGGCGTCGGCGGTGCAGGCAGCGCGCAGGAAGTGCGCGAGCGAGGCAGGCAGCGCGCGGGCTGGGAACGCAGCGCGCGGGCAGCAGTAGCAGTGCGCAGGCAGCGTGCGGGCAGGGCGCGCATAGGCCTCAGGCAGCGCGCGTGCAGGCAGCGCGAGCAGGGCGCGAGCATGGCAGCGTGCGGGTCGCGCGCTAGGCAGCAAGCGGGCAGAGCGCGTGGGGCAGCGCCGGCAGGGCAGCGTGAGGAACGCTGTTCGGGAAGGGCAGTACAGGCAGTTCGGGCAGTTCGGGCAGGTCTAAACTAGCGGTGGGCCCTAACGGAGCGGTCCTACGGATGGACCCGCTTTGAATACCATGTCAGAAATGTTGAAACTAGGCAAGAAGTAGGAATGGAAGAAGAGGGTTTGAACTAGCAGGCAAGTGGGACACATATAGGAAACCCTAAAAGGGTTGTACTCACTGTTGAGTACCCCACTACAGCCTACACAACAAATAACAGTTTGACAAGAAATAGTACGTAGGAATGATTGACTAGGATGCAAGGATGGGTACAAGTACTAGGGTTGACCTAAAGTGTTGTACCCCTTAAGAGTATGCCCCACTACAGCCTAGAGAGATACAAATGCAATTTGACACCATGCACACTAGTAATCGTGCACAGTCCTATAGATGATCTCAAGCTCCTCCTCCAACTGCCTACAATCGAGTGAAGCTTGTTGAACTCTTGCATCTAACTGCCTGGCTATTCTCTCCTGTGTTCCACCCATCAGCTCCCTGCGCAGAGTTTCAAGCTGAGCTAGCACATGGCTCATACTGGGTCAATTTGATATGAGCTTTGCAACACATGAGAGAGAAATTGCAACTAGATTGGAGGCCACGGCATGCGGTGCGTTGAGATCCCCATTGACAACAGACGCAATGCCCCCTCTCTCCACCTCCTGCTCCACCTGTCAACATTGGGAGGAAGAGCAAGGAGGATGAGATAAGGTGTTGGAAGGAGGGGGTGAGAGGACAGGGAAGAGGCAGGGGGAACAGGATTAAGATGGAGTAAGAGCTGAGGGTGAGATGGGGTATGGTAGGGTTTTCATGACACAAACAGCTGCAGTGTGACTGGGAGATTTCCAACATACAGAAAGTCAGAGAAGAGGGATAGTTGGTTGGAAGGAAGAAAGAAGCAGCAGCAGCATACCCAGTCCTTGATGTTGATGTGTGACTCATCTTCACGTCGCAGCACGACATGCTTGCAGGTCAGTAGCTCCATCATGACCACTCCAAAGCTGGAGAGAGAGAGAGAGAGAGAAAGAGGGATGGAGGGAGGGCGGGAGGGAGGGAGGGAGTGGAGGAGGAGGGAAGGAGGAGGGAGGGAGGGAGGGAGGGAGGGAGGGAGGGAGGGAGGGAGGGAGGGAGGGAGGGAGGGAGGGAGGGAGGGAAAGAGGGAGGGAGGGAGGGTGGGAGGGAGGGAGGGAGGGAGGGAGGGAGGGATGGAGGAAATAAAAGAGGAAATCCTGGACAAGTTGGACGAGTGGCTCTTGGTGGGAAACCATGTGCAACGAAGAGAATATGGTGAACAGAGAGCACCTGTGTGAGACGAGAGATGAGGACACGCGTACTTGGCCAGAGAGCATAAGCATGTGTGCGCACACGCCTTCCCACCTGTACACATCAGCACTTGAAGTGGCCTTGTGAGTGAGTGAATAGACGGGGTCCACATAGCCCGGTGTGCCCATCACTCGTGTTGATTGCAGTGAGCCGCTGCCCTCACCCATTCGGAGCAAACCAAAGTCTGACACTTTTGCCTGCAAAATGGAAAAGAGCACTTTCCGCGTGAAACAGTGACAGAATGTCAAAGTGATCCTCATGGAACGAGGTGTTACGGAGTCACGACTCATGTGAAGCTGCACTCTCCTGCCTCTTGGCTTCTCGTGAGATGCCCATCAGTGAATGCACTCGACTGCATGAACTCGCCTGCATGAACTCGCCTGCATGTGTGCGTCCAGCAGTATGTTGGCGGGCTTGATGTCACGATGCACGATGCCAAAGCGGTGCAGATACTCCAGCGCACGCGCCACTCCTATCAAAATGTCCAGGCGCTGCTGCAGGGTCAGGGGGGTGCTACTAATGCCTGACGAACAAAGCAAAAAAGAGAAGCAATGGAAAGGAATCAGATAAAAAGAGAAGGAGCAGAGCAAGAGCAGCACGAGGAGGAGCAGAGAAAGAGCAGCAAGAGGAGGAGAAAGCAGTGGTGCCCACCTGTGTCATGGGCGTGCATGCGGTGGTACAGGTCCCCATTGGGCATGAACTCATAGATGGCGATCTGCTCCATGCGCTCCGATGCCGCATCATAGTCCATGCAGAACCCCAGCAGCCGCACCAGGTTCGGGTGGTGCTTCGATGCCATCTCGTTGATCTGACACCACCCGAATGGAGTGAGGGAGGGAAGGAGTGATTGGGTCGGACTGGGGGACAGGTTGAGGAGGGGAGGGTGGGGGGAGATACGGGAGCATAGAGGGGGAGGGACCCGCTGGGGCAAAACACAGTATCAAATTAATAGCTCATGCTTCCTGCATTTCGCTTCATTCATTCCCCATCTTGGCTACCGCTTACGTGCATCTTGGCCTCTCTCTGGAGTCACTGGCCTCTGACGTGGTTGTTGCTGGGCATGCCTCTCATTACTCCGCCCTCCTCTCACCCACATCCCATGGCCATCAACCCCAGCATCACAACAAGCACACCTCGCGGCGGAAGTCGTTGGTGAGCACTCGGGCGCGCTTCACAGCCCACGGCGTGCACCCGCCCAACGGGCTCACCCCGCGGTACACGTCGCCAAACCCACCGCTCCCAATGCGCCTCTCCACCGCCCATCCGGCCGTGGCACGCAGCACGTCCGCCATGCCCACCTGCTGGCACAGTAGCGGCGCCAGAGGGAGGGCGCAGGAGGAGGAAGGGCCGGCCACAGGAGGAGGAGAAGGAGGAAGCTGCGAAGGGGGGGTGGAAGGATTAGGAGATGTGCAGAGAGGGTCAGCGTGGGAAGGATTGGCCCAAGAGTCCAAATGCTCATTTCCGCTATTGCCTGCCACTGCACCCCCCTCTCCCTGGAATTCCCCTTCTTGCCTCTCCACCTCTTCCTCCATCTGCCTCAATGCTGTTGCCACGTCATCCCGCACAATCTCCAGCTCAGCAATAACTCTTCCCAGGGAGGGCCGGGTGGAAGCAGGCATGGCTGTGCATGCGAGTCCCACACGAGCCAGGCGCACCAGACTGGGAATAAGAGCATTCGGTATGGGAACACCCAGTGCACCAGCTGCTGTGCCTGCAGTGCTGGCGGTGCTAGAGAGAGTGCTGGAGCTGCTGGTGGGGCTGCTGCTCGGGATGCTGGCGCTGGTGTTGGTGGTGGGTGGACAGAAGGAGGAGGCGAGGGCGGGATCAAATAGAGCAGCCAGGTTGTTGGCTTCAAGCTGAGTTTCATCGTAATGTGGGGTGAAATGCAGGGGGGAAAGTCAGATGCAGAATTTAGGCCTGAAGCATGAACCCCACGATTAGAAACACTATGTGCAGATGCTGGGAAGCAGGTTGGAGGAGAAGCAGCGAGAACAGAACGGAAGGAAGATCCTGAGAAGTCTCCGGACCGGAGACTGCCAGCGATGGAGGTACTGCGCTGCTCGTATGCCTCTCAGGACGCGGACACTCAAACGGATCAATCGTGTGGAGAATCAAATTTCGACGTCAGTGACCATCGTCTGAATTAGACAGCCACCAGTAACCCTGGTTTCATGTCTGACGAGAAGAAACAGTGTACCCGTGAAGGCATAAACCCAATTTGAGCACGATCGATCCTTTCGAGTGTCCGCGTCCCCAGGACGAACTCGCCTCGCCCTCCCCCCAATGCTCCACTCGCACTCACAGTGTCACTAAAAAATTGTGGCATGGCCTCTGCAACCCAACTGTCCTTTGATGGGTCATATCCCTTCCAGCGTATCAGGAACTCGAGCGTGTTGCCACGTCTACGTCGATGAGCGAGCACTCGTTCCACCTCGTACTCTGGTTCATCCTGTACGAGAACACGTGGTGGTGGCGGTAGCTGGCGTCCCTGGAACTGTTGGTTGGGGTCCTTATAGGGCTTCAGTAGCTGAACATGGAAGCATTGTGAAGCTTCCAAGTAGTAGGTAAGCGCAAGCGGAATGTTACTAGTGTCACCTGTGCCTCAACGTGAAAAGGACCACAGAAGCGAGGCCGGAGCTTGGACGGAAGGTGAGATAAGTTGTGTGTGTCGAGAAGCACCTGATCTCCGACTGCTAATGAGTGATCTCGTCGCTGGCGATCGGCATACTGCTTCTGGGAGTTCTGCATCGTGGAAAGACGTCGCTGTGTCTTCTCCCATAGCTGCTGCATGGTGGTGACGAAGTCATGTGCGGCTTGGACGTGTGCCGGTGTGGTTGGCTGCTGTGGTGTAAGTGGTTCCCGTCCATAGCACAGGAAGAAAGGAGATTTCCCTGTGGCCGCATGTGAGGCGTTGTTGTAAGCGAACTCTAGGATCAGTAACTGTAGATCCCAGTGGCTGATATTGTCTTTGCAAGCTGTGCGCAGTAACTGTTCAACCACCTGAGTGAGTCGCTCAGTCTGTCCGTCAGTCTGGGGGTGGTACGCTGAAGACATCGCAAGCGTTGTCCCCAACAAACCATGAGTTCCCTCCAGAATTCACTTGTGAACTTTGGGTCTCGATCCGAGATGAGTGTAGCGAATATGCCGTGGATGGTGATGATGCGGTCGAAGAAGAGGCGAGCAGTTGCTTCAGCTGTAGCCGTGGCGTTGGTCGGGACGAAGTGTCTCATTTTAGAGAACTTGTCGATTACCACGAGTATAGCGTCATGCCCTCGTGAGGTCGAAGGTAGCCGAGTGATGAAGTCTAGGCTGACAACTTGCCATGGCTGCTCCGGTACGGGTAGAGGCTGAAGTAACCCTGTTTTTTTCTGCTTGCTACTCTTCATCCGTTGCAGGTGTCGCAAGAGGTGACGAACTGCTGCACGTCTGCTGCCATCCGAGGCCAGTAGTAATACTTTGCCTTTCCCGCTAACGTCTTGTTGCTCCCGAAATGTCACGCGTACTGTACGTCATGAAACTCCTCCAGCAGAATCTGTCGGAGCGGGGCATAGTTCGGTACCCAAATCTTCCCTGAACTCTTCCTTACAGCTAAGTCCTTCTCCCACTGTAACAGCTTCTGTTTTTCTGCTGTAGTAATCTCTGCGTCCACGGAGTACCCATGTTGGAATAGACCCTTGAGGAGAGGGTTCATCCCGTCGAGTTGGATGCCTGCTACGTGACCGGGGCGGCTCAACGCGTCTGCCTTGTTGTGTAGCCCGGGTTTGTAGACGATGTCGTAATGGAAGTGGGTCTCCAAGAAGTCCACCCACCGCATCTGTCGTCGTGAGAGTGTCGGCTGTGACTTCAGGTATTTGAGGCTGCAGTGGTCAGTGTAAACTGTAGTCTTGGCTCCCTCTAGGTAACACCTCCACGCCTTGAAGGCTGTGACTATCGCTAAGGCTTCCTTGTCATGGATTGGGTAGTTCAGTTCTGCTCCGTGGAGCTTCTTACTGAGGTAGGCCATGCGTTGCAAACCGCGTCCGTGATCCTGCATCAGTACTGCTCCGACTGCCTGGTCACTATCGTTTGCTTCCACCACGTAGTCTCTGTCTTGATCTGGTAGGATGAGTACTGGCGCTGTAGTCAGTGCTGTCTGTAGCTGCTCCATGGCTTGCTGTTGAGGAGTATCCCATTTGTAGGGCGTATCATTTTTCAGTAGGTTGGTCAGTGGCGCTGCTATCTTAGCATACTGCGGCACGAACCTGTTGTAGTAGTTGGCGAAGCCTAGGAACTGCTGCAACTCCTTCACGTTCTCCGATATTTTCCACTTCTTGACGGCTTCGATCTTCCGGTTGACCCATTCTATCTCGGGGTTGAACCGCTTCAGGAAATCTCGCCCCAAGATGAAATCTAATCCCTTGATGTTCGTGATCGGCAACGTCGGCTTCCACCTTAACGCCCCTATCTGCAGCTGCAATGTTGTCTCGCCGTGGATGGGAAGCTTCGTACCGTCCACCATCGTTGCTGTAAATTGGGTCTCCTCCGATGACTCTCCAATTTTCTCCAACATCCCGCGGTCGCAAAACGAGTGGGACGCACCACTGTCCACCAAGGCCTGGAGGCGTCGCCCGTTGCAGATCACCTCGAGGAGTAGTGGCTGCTGCCGCTCCGAGTAGCCGTAGATGGTCTCGCTTACAGGATCATAGGGTACGTCAAATATATCGTCCTTAGGTCCTGCGCTCGAAGCTGCTGACTCAATATCAGGTTTCACATGAGTAGGGTGGATTTATCCTAGGCTGGTACAGCTTCTCCTGTGCCTGGAACCTTCCCCTAAACCTTTGCAGCCTTTAAACAGTGCTACTGGGAGAGAATAATAACTCCTCGGAATGCTCGACCCGTATTAGCGCTCTGGAGTAGGGTCCCCATATTACCCGGTACCGGTTTAATTTCTGACTCTCCCTTAATAAAGGCTTGAAACCCACGAGAAGTAATATTCTTACTTGTCGGGGTGTACGGCTGGAGTTTCCCGGTCGGTGCAGGGTCTTGTTTCGCGGATCCTCCTTTAGTCTCGGCGATTTCCCCTGGTGCCGGCTGGTCGTGACGTTTTAAATTTGCGCCACCATATTCTCCTTTTTTCGCCCTCTCCGAAGTTGCCACGTTGTCCGTTTTCTGCTTCGGGGGTGCCGCACTGTTCTTGTCCCTCAGCTCCGCACGCCTTCTTTCCATTTTCCAACACGCCAAGATACGATGTCATGTAGCGCCGCAAAATTTGCACGTCTCATTTTTTGCTAGCCGCTGCTCCACATCGCCCTTGTCGTTCTCCATCGGGTCGGCAGTCGTGGGTGGTGCCAATCGCCCCATGCCACTATTTGGCTTGTTGCGTCGTGTTCCGTAGTAGCTACTGTCAACGTGCCGAACTGTTCGACCAGTGCTGCCCGAAACTGCGCCCACGTCCCTTCGCCTTGGACTATACTGTTGTTGATCCACTCTAGAGCTGGGCCTCGTAACAGTGTTGTTGCGAGCCGTATGCGCATTGCGTCTTTTGTCGGGGTCGTGCATCCAACGGCTTCGAAGTAAATTTCGAGTTCAGCTACAAATCGACGAACGTCGTTTCCTTTAACTGTAGGATCGAACGCCTCCGGTAGCCTCGGCTTCACTACTTCGAGGTTAACTGTAGCTGCTGCCATTGTCGCAGGTAGAATTGTCGGTGTCGCCGCCGCTGCTGCTGCTGCTACTGTTGTCGCTGCTGCATTCGCTGCTGCTGTGGCAGTTGCCGACCGGTTCGCAAGGAGTTTTTCGAGTCGTGGGAGCGCCGCATGTATCTGCTTATACTCAGCACGAAACTCCGCGATTTTCCGTACGGAATTATCTCTATTTCCCTCTATTTGGCGATTTGCAGGAACATGCGCGACGAAAATAAATGAATTCTAGGTGCTGGTCGAC